TGGTCCTTTCAAAGAACCATTCTGGGCCTTTCATTGCTGACTTCAGTCAGTAAGTCCCTACGGGGTTTGATTTTCCTCTCTGGTTAGGTGATCAAAGCCCAACCCGTAACGCCTGAATGTCTTACAACAGGTTCTAGTAAGTCCGGAGTTAGCCATTCTTCTTCATTTTAATCAAAGCAAAAGACGACATTGACATTTTTTCATCTCCATTTCAAAGTATTTGTCATTTGATTCGATTCAGAATCACTCAGAAGGATTCCACTCATGTGGAACCTGTCTAACCTGCCATCAAGCTGTTCCCACCAGAACAAGGACCCACTTCTACACCTAAATAATTACTTATTGAAATCACACTAGTCCGTTTTACGGAGAACCAGCAGTCCTTACAACAGGAGAAGGTGAGTAAGCTGGAGGTCTGACAGAGGCCCTGCCCATGGTGGCTTCCTACTTCTCCCTAAACTGATCTCAGTCCCTTTAGTATGCTGCTTTGTGGCTTCTTCCATATTGTCCTCCCTTCTCCCCCGCTATCTGCTCACACACACGGGTCTCAACAGTCTTGGCGCCAACTCTACTTGCCTGCCTGCCTCTGTTCTGTTTGGAGAGTGTTTGTCCATTTCCTCGCCTGGCTTTAAGAACCAGGAGGTATGGTGTGTAGAGGCAGGGAATGCAGGCTGTGTGTGTACATGGGTTACATTCGGGGATTACATTCGGGGATGTGGAAATAGCAGAGGGGACGCCCATCTGACTTCTTCGTAGGACTGCTTTCAGGAAGGAGGAGGCTCCAACTCCACACTAGCACTAGAGGTCAGTTGCAACAAGGCAGAAGTCAGCCTCCACCCTCATCCTCCTGTTACCCTATTTTCACACCAACTGTTCTTCCTACAGCACTGGACTTCTCTGCTGGGTTTGATCATTCTTTGTGGCCAGGCCACCCAAAACTCAGAGATTACATTCATGATTCGAGGGGTTTACTAGGGAAGTTAACAGGTTACCATAAGTCAGTATCATAAAACCTTAAGCATACAGTCTTTGGTCCACAGCAGAGCCTCCCCTCAGCCAGCAGCCAAGTCTCTCTCTCGTCTTTAGCATCTCAGCCACATGGCCCCTTGGCCTCTGCTTTGTTCCTTGGTCCGGGAAGCCTACCCACGCTGCCTCACAGTCTCAGTGCTGCCCTGCTGCTCGGCCTTGTGGTCAGAGTGTGCCTCCTCTGCTGTGTCCTCTGCTCTCAGTGTGGCTCAACGGCTCCAGCTTTTGCTGATTCTATCACTTTCGGCAAGGATTTTGCATGCAGTCCACTGGGGCTCTTCATGCTTTATGATCTTTGGGTTCTCTACTCTCACTTTTGTGGATGGCCCTCTTGTAAACCCAGGAGGAGGGCAAAATTGACCAAGCCCTCCTTTTTACACCCTAATTTGTACACTGTATTTGTATGGTCCCACGAGACACGGGTGGATGGAAGAGCCATAAGTAAGTAATTTTACTTCACCATAGACACCATTTACTGTCTAGTTGATTTCAAATCATGGCAGTCCCATGGCTGGCAGGTTAGAACTGTGCTGCATAGTAGATTTAACCATGGCTGAGTTTTTAAAAGTAGCTCTCCAGATCTGCCTTCCCAGGCACCTCTGGCTAGACTCGAACCTCCAGCCTTTCGGTTAGCAACCAAGTTGAGTGTTTGCGGTTTGCCCCACCCAGGAACTCGGAGTCTTCTCTACACACCTGTGACGCCAGCAGACTTAATCTATTATTACCTAGATCATCATGCTATATTTGGTGGGCCCCTAGAGTTGGTACACAATCCACAGCAAATATTTAACATTCAGTAAATAGATGTTAGAGCTTTCTTACTTTGGATAGATTTCTCTTTCTCCCCGCCCCCCTCTCTCCTTGTCTCCCTCCCTGCCTCTCTCCCTCTCTCTCCCTTTGTAGAAGTTGTGAGGCTTGGGGCTAGTAAATTATTTGTATGATTTCTAAGCATACATAAGTTTAGGAAGTCTTTGCAATTGTATTCTTTCCTAATAACTTAAAAATTAGAAATGTTAAAAGAAATAGGGAAAGGAGATATCAAAGAGTATTTGAAATAAACACAACTTATTTCCATAGAGCACAATATTAAATAGCCAAAGTGATTTCATGTTTGTTAGAGATCTGGGGGCGTTTGTTTTGCTTTTTAGTGACTTTTTATCCAAATGTTTTGTTATTGGCAAGAAAGTAAAGCCCCAAATCTGTCCTCATTGCGTCTTTGTTTTGTTTAGTCTTGACTTTTGGACCAAAACAAGAACTAAGTATCATTTTGCCAGAAACTTGGCATTTCCACGAATGTATTTCTTGACCATTGCACAATATTTTGGGCTGTTGTGAAAATGACTCTTATCAGAGAGTAAGCTTACAAAAGTGTATGGGTAAATGCACAGATATACAATACATACACACATTTATATATAAACCCATTTCCTGTCCAGTTGGTGTCAACACAGTAACCTTATGGGATGGAGTAGAGCTGCCCCATCGCTTCCCAGGTTGTCAATCTTTGCAGAAGCAGATTGCCATGTGTCTCTCCCGCAGAGCAAATGTGGGTCCACACTGCAGACCTTTGTGTTAACAGAGAAGAACTTAGCCACTACGCCACCAGGGACCCTTGGAAACTGCATGGGAAAGCGTGGATATATGCAAAATAGGAAATCCAGGCATGTGTATACTTTGAATAGCAGTAAAAATAGGTTGCATCAAGAACATATGTTTTAGGGTTTTTTCTATTTGTCAAGGGTTAGGGAGTAGAGGTTTTTCTGGATAATAATTTACCCTTACCCCATAAGTTATCAATTATATGAATTCTTAGGCGTATACTTGCATGTTATAAATAGGGCTCATACATATTTCCACAGGATCGTGACTTATATGAAACGAAGGGTGAATTTGGGCGGAAACATTTGAAGCGTCCTCCAAGTTATATACCGGGATGGACGTGGCTTGTTTAATAGGAAAGTCCTGTATGAAGCCAGAGGCATTTTCCGAGAGCAGAAAGTTTAAAAACGACTGTCGAATTTCCTGTTTGAATGGAGGATGGAGGCGAGAGCCGTGAGCCATTTGCTTCCTGAGTGGCCACATTCCAGCTGTGCAGACTAGTCTTAGCACATCTGCCAATCAGGGCGGGCCCCAGGGAAGCCCTCAGAGGCTGGGTCTCGTTTACACTCATGTGACTCCGTTTCTCCCCACCGCCTGGGTGTCGTACACTCGGCAGATTAGTGGGGAGTCTGCTGTCCCTGTCCGAGCCAGGATCACAGCCGCAGCAGGTGACAGAGCGGGCCCTCATCTAGCCACAGGTAAGAGTTGTTGCTTGGGTGGTGAGGATGATGGCAGGTCTGCAGCCACCGTGTGGCTTGTCAGCACAAGGAGCCAGAACAACTCCGGGCAACGTGATGCCCATGGGCGCCGCCTCACTCGGACTTTAAATTCTCAGTGCGCAACCAGTGAGAAGCTGTGATTTTTTACTTACACGCTAAGTGAAATGATGACTCTTTGAACGCGTCGGTAACATGAAATCACTGTGTGGAGGAATGACGGCCTCCACACGTATATTTATTACCATGATGCGTTTGGGAGAACATTCTGTCTAAGCAGGCTCTCTTGTGAACGTACTGTCAGCCTTGCAGAGGGCGGGCTTTTTATGTGAAGTTTAACCCTGGACTTAAAAAAAAAAAAGGTTTGCTTTTCTTTTGTTATGACCCCTTCCAAAAGTCTCTGTGTGTGCATTGAATTGTAGAATGCCGCCCGCCTTGGCCTTTCCTCCCTGTCCCTCTCAGTTGGAGAGTATCTGTATATCTTTGCATGGTCTTCACTGGGATCCTACTTAATCTTTGTTTTGCCACGAAATTCAAACTTGCTTGTATTTGTTTAAAAAACTTTTAGAACATAGTATATTTGCAGTATTGCATAGGATTTTTTTCCTCCAATTTTTAAATCATTACATGGGACTTTTGTGTGGTTAATTTGCCTTTTGATGTTGGGTTTGCTCCCCACCCCACCCCCACCCCCCCGCCGCTGCAAACTGAGATGTTTTGATATCTTAAATATCTAGCTATGATTTTAAGATCTAAAGATTATTTGGAGTTAAAACCATCAGAGTCAGGGTCTTGTGGCTCACGTCTCGTGCTCTGGTTGATAAATAGTCTTTTATAGCAGTATGGAGAAGCACTTTGGCAAACTTGAAGCAGCTGTTTGTCTTTCTGCCCTGCAGGGAAGTTTCTCAACCTCCACCCCCTGGACAGTTTGGGCTAGACAAAGTTCCCTGCGGTGGGGGCTGCCCTGCACGTTGCGGGATGTTTACTGGGGTCACAGCAGTTCCTTTCTCCTCACTTGTGACAACCACCATTGTCAAATGTCCCCTAGGGGACAGAAATCACTCCTGAGTGAGAACCATTACCCTTCCGTGGTGAAATCCCACTTCTGGAATGTTCTGGGTGGGAGAGAGTTAAGGATGAGGCTAGCCCGCTCTTAGTGTATTTGCAGATGTTGCTGTGGCCAACTGCTCATTGTTCTCCTCCCCACCTCATTAGACGCTTCTGCCAACCATGATTCATGGAACGATTTCTTATGGCTGAGTCATCTGTGGCTTTTCAGTTTCCTTACTAGCTTTCCTTAGCTAAAGCTGTCTTGCTTTTAGCTAAAGTATTTTGAAGAGAAAAACAAACCAACAGCCAAGATCTTTTACAAATGAAGGAATACTTGCAATACCATATTTTCCTAATGATCTTCACCAACCGCCATAACATGGTAGGCCTGTTCTTTGTTGCGTATGCCTTCTCTACCTCCTCCATCAGAAGCGTCCCCTCTTCAGCCCTGCTAAAGAGCCTGCTAGAGGGGGAGACAGGGTACCTTTGAGCAGCACTTTGTGAAATCTAATGGTTTGGCCACTGGTAGTTCAAGAACTTTCCCCCCCCTCAGGATTTCTAAAGAGCATGTTGACATGTGGCTGTCTTCTTCTCTTTACAGATCGCAACGAAAGAAATAAGCCAGAGCACCGTTCTTCAAGGTATGAATTCCTAGCACTGACTAATTCTATCTATAGCTTTCTCGTTGGGAAAAAAAAAATACTGTTTGAAGGCAATGGAAGTACGGGTCCCTTTTAGTCGCTCGGTGTGGCATTCAAAGATGCTGCGCCAGGGCGCTCGTGTTCGTTCCCTGGACAGCAGTCTCTGCCTAAAAGTATTGACGGTCCTGAAAGACACGTTGCATTTTCAGAATTCCTGTTAATAGCAGGTAAACCTTCACCAACCGCCATAACATGGTAGGCCTGTTCATGAACAAATGCTTTCGGCCCTGTTTCCTCTTTGCTGGCGAATGTTCTACCCTTCTTCTCAACAAGTCTTCACAATGCATAATGCTTTGCCTGCAAAACTGGAAAAGGCCCATTGTAGAAATTTAGAAAGATGAAAATTGCAAAGCGTTAGTTCAAACAACAACAACGGCAACAACACGCAGCTTGACCTTCCACCATGGAGAGATGGCTTGAATACAACTATGGCTACACTATGTTTACTCATAGATTATTATCAGTGTGTCTGTGTCCAGATCAAGGTTCTGTCACCGGAACCCCTCACCCACATCATCAGACAGTGTGCTTTACTGGACTTTGACCAACACTGAAGACTATCCTGAAAAATACCTGTCAGTCGGCTGCTAACTGCAAGGTCCAGGTCAAAACTGGAGCAGCTGCTCCTGGGTAGAGAGACTGGACGTCCACTCCACTCCCGTAAGGTGCACAACGCTCTGGGAAACTCACCGGGAGAGTCCTGTGGGGTGGTGATGAGTCCCCAAGACCCAGTGAGAGTGACTCTTTGCTTTGGTCAGTCTTGTACATTGAAAATCGTCTAGTCCCACCAAAATAGACTGTGGGACCCCACAGACAACCGGAAAATGCTCCTAAAGGTCAACAAACAGACCTTGAACTATTTATAGGCTTTCCTCCTTTTTTTTTTGTTGGTGTTGGTGTTGGTGTTTCGTTGGTGTTTTATTTTCTTTTGCTCTGTCTTGTTTTTGTGTAAATCACTGCCTCTGCATGTCTGTCTAGATAAGATAGGCGGGATCAACAATCCGGAGGAGATGCCACCAAGTCCGTTCCAACTCACAACGTCCTTATGTGCAACAAAAGGAAAAGCCACCCTGCAGGACCACCCTCGCAATCATTGCTGTCCCCGAGCCCATTATTACAGCCACTGTGTCAATTCATCTTCTTGAGGGTCTTCCTCTACTACCGAACATGATGTTGGTTTCCGGTCCCATTTCCACAGTAGGGGAGGCAACGTCTCAGGAGCTTCGCTTATAGGGAGCATTCTGGCTGCACTTGACCAAGACAGATTTGTTTGTTCTTCCGGCAGTGGAGGTTACTTCAGTATTCCTTATTCCGTCGTCCTTATTCTTTTAGGTGCATATGAGACACTTGAAAATATTATGGCTTGGGCCAGGTGCACCTCATTCCTCAGTGTCAACATTGCCCAACACTTTAGCGAGGGCTTGTGCAGTGGATTTACCCAGTACAGTATGCTGGGACTTCTTGACTGCTGCGTCTACAGGCATTGATTGTAGAGCCAAATACAATGAAATCCTGGACAACTGAAGTATTTTCCAAATTTATCATTATGGTGCTTATTGGCCCAGTTGTGAGAATTTTTGTTTTCTCTCTGTTGAGATGTGATTCATCTTGAAGGTTGTAATCTTTTATTTTCATCAGTAAGCTTTAAGTCTCTGATTTTAGCAAGCAAGGTTATGACATCTGTGTATTCCGGGTTGTTAAGGACACTGCCTCAAATCTTAATATTCATGCTGTCTATCTTCTTGGATTATTTATAGGAATATTGTTAGGTAGGTGAATATCCTTATTCTTTTTTTTAAATCATTTTATTAGACACTTGTACAACTCTTATCACAATTCATACATCCATCCATTGTGTCAACATTTGTACATTTGTTGCCATCATCCTCAAAATATGTTCCTTCTACTTGAGCCCTTGGTATCAGCTTCTCATTTTTCCCCTCCCTCCCTCAAGAACCCTTGATAATTTATTAATTATTGTTATTTTTTCATGTCTTACACTGTTCAATGCCTCCCTTCATCCACTTTTCTGTTGTCCATCCTCCAGTGAGGGGGTTATATGTAGATCATTGTGATAGGTTCTCCCTTTCTACCCCACCTTCCGTTTCCCCTCCTGGTATCACTACTCTCAATATCAGTCCTGAGGGCTTTATCTGTCCTGGATTCCTTGTGTTTCCAGCTCTTTTTTTTTTTTCCCTAGTTCTTTTTTTTTCTTTCTATGTTTCCAGCTCTTATATGTACCCGTGTACAACCTCTGATCTAGCCGGATTTGTAAGGTAGAATTGGGATCATGATAGTGGGGGTGGGGTGGGGTAATGAGGAAGCTTTAAAGAACTAGAGGAAAGTTGTATGTTTCATCAGTGCTACACTGCACCCTGACTGGCTCATCTCCCTCCTGCGACCCTTCTGTAAGGGGAAGTCCAGTTATTCTTAAGAGCTACATACCAAAGTATTAGGGATGATGTAGCCACATGTTTGCAATCCACTTTCAAATAATTCAGGGTGGCAGGCAGGAAGGTGGGGCGGGGCAGTGGAAAAAGCAGAGAGAGAGCATGTAATCCAGGAAGAAGTAAATGTAGGAAAATATTAACAAGGAAACTGTATTGTAACTGATCGACTGCTCACATCAAACTATAAAATGGAGGGTAGTTACAGTATATTAGTTTATGGAAAAACAATCAGTCCAATGTCTGCCAACCCACTGAGAACCATAGTCTAGCCTAATTGTCACATACATTAACCGTCATATCTATTTCTCAAGAGTTTACCCAAGATTGTGCTGTGCTGTGACAACGAATGGGAAAGGCCTGTGTCCCCGGGAAAGCCATGTTTCTGTCACAGATAGCTGCCCCGACAGGCACTGACCTGCCCCTCCCCTGCTCCTCTCAGCCTTGAGGGGCCACGCTCCAGGCCTGCACTGCACCCTGCAGATTAATACCTGCTGCACTAACAAGGCAGAAAGAAAAACTATATAAACAAAGAGTCACTCGTTTTTGGTTTGTGTGTTCGTTCTTCTCAGGCCGTTAAGCAAGTGTAATGGCTCAGGCTCAAAGCCTAGCAAGAACAAGAGAAAGGCATTCCTTTAGTTCAGGTTTTTACAAGACCAAGCAGTCTAGAGCTTGGCAAGTGAGAGGCAAATAAATCTGGGACGTCTGCCTTGTTCTCTTATTTTGGTGCTGAAATAAAACGGGGAGTAAATCTCTTGTCAATGTAGGAAAGGTTTCATCAGGCATAGGCCAACGCTAAGACACCAAATTAACGCGTACCATTGAAACATGTTAAGAGAATTGCTGGAGTACTGGGGTGCTTCTTGATTAATTTGATTTAATGTTGGATTTTTCCCCCTCCATTCTTGCTGATTGATTAATGTGGAAGTCAGAAATACCTGAATTCTTCTTGTCTCAGCTTTATTGGTTTAAGTACACCATTTGCCAAATTGATGTCCCATGGAGTATTTTTCAGCAGAATATTAATTAAGATGTCAAGACATTAATAGTCCTGTGTAAGAGAAGTTTGTACAATGGTGAGTTAAACCAGTGTACATCCTCTGGTCTAGCCAGACTTGCAAGGTAGGATTCGTATCATGATAGTGGGAGCGGGGAAGAAACATTTAGGAACTAGAGGAATGTTGTATTTTTCATCTTTGTTACATTGCACCCTGATTCTCCTCCCCGCGACCCCTCTGTAAGGGGATCTCCAGTGGCCTACTAATGGGCTTTGGGTCTCCACTCTGCACTCCCTCCATCATTCACTATGGTAAGAGTGAAACACACTTTTGTACCTATGTTGCCATAGGAACTGAAAATACAGGGAATCCAGGGCGGATGAGCCCTACAGGACCAGTGGTGTGAGTGGCGATACAGGGAGGGTAGAGGGAGAGTGGGTAGGAAAGAGGGAACCGATTACAAGGAACTATATGTGACCTCCTCCCTGGGGGACGGACAACAGAAAAGTGGGTTGGACAGGGCAAGATATGACAAAATAACAATTTATAAATTATCAAGGGCTCATGAGGGAGGGGGGAGCGGCGAGGGAGGGGGGAAATGAGGACCTAGTGGAGAGGAAATGTTTTGAGAATGATGAGGGCAATGAATGTACAAATGTGCTTTACACAATTGATATATGTATGGATTGTGATAAGAGTTGTATGAGCCCCTAATAAAATGATTTTTAAAAAATTTTAAAAAGAGATAATTTAAGGTGTTCTGACATAGTGCTAAACAAGATTTTTATGGTTAGTCGGATCTCTTAGAAATCACTAATTAAAAGCTTTTTCACTTTTAAAAAAAAGTGTGTTTGATACAATTGATGTATGGGTTGTAAGAGCTGTAAGAGCCCCCAATAAAACAATTTATTTTAAAAAGAAAGAAAGAAAGAAACATTCTTTCACCGGTGCCCAAGAAGTTACACAGTTCTGTTTAGACTAAGAAAACTACAGCTCTAGGAATCAATGTAGGTAAATCTCAAAACCCCCATTTTGGCAAATACAAAGCAAACTGTAGAGGGATAGGTATGGTAAGATACTGTGTATATAACACCAAAGGCCAAACCTGGCCACTCATATGTGTAGCTAACAGTTTTACCGGGACTGGGCTCTGTCCATCTGTTTGCAAGTAGCCCTGGTACAGCCGTAGAGTTGAATAGCTGCAACAGGGACAGTATGACAGACAGGCCAAGTGAAACTGTACTCTCTGGCCCATTCTAGAGAAATTTTGCGGACTCCCAACACAAAGTTTTCTCGCGGGCAAAATCAGTATGTTTTATGTAGGCTATTGATGATGACATATTAGTAAAAGTATTAAATGCATGGAAATGATAACGTGATTTTAGTCTACTGATTATGAAAAGATGAGAGCTTGGGGAAGGGTCCAGAGGAAACTTGAAATGTATCTGTACTGCTTTCTTCCTTAAAGCTGAGTAATGAGCTCTGTAATCGTATC